ATGTTTCCCTAATTCTCTTTCCTCTCTCCCCCTTTTTCTGGGTGTTGTGTTCGTTTTTATGTATGTTTGGTGTGATTATTTGAATTGGTTTTGATCTGTTGAGTTTTGGGGTTCTTAGTGTTGGATTTGAGCTGGATTCTTCTATTGCCGAGTTTTTGTAGAGGAAATCTGGGGTAATTCTATGGATTTTTCTTGTGGGTTTTGGATTTTCAGTGAAGGGTATGTGTTGGATTCTTCGATTTGGGAATATATGTTGTAAATCTGATGTATCTAGGGTTTTCTGGGTGTTTGTAGTTCTTTGTACCTTGAAGTTGCGATTGATCTATTGGATTTCAGATTTAGTTGTTGTCCAAAACAGAAGATTTTGCTGTTTGATCTAGTCATGGCCGACAATGTTTCATTTTAGAGCTGTGGTTCTTTTGATGAGGGCCTTCTTCTTATTTGAGGGGAGTTCAGATGGGAGATTCTGTGTCCAAGTAATTTGGGTATAGTTTGCTTGAGAAATTGGTTATCTAGATTTGATGCTGATTTTTGCTAAAATTGGGAGTTGAAGGTGTTTTTGATGTGAATTTTCATCTTACCCACTTAGTTATGTTGTTTTTGGAGTTTAGGCTTTAGTGGTGCTTAAACTAGAATTACGAAAATTGGTCGTATTTTGAGGGAGGAAAAGGTTGCTAGTTTGGGATTGTTTCATATGTGAATTTTGAACATAATGTCTTTTATGGCTAGAAGAAAATGATTTCGCTTGAATAACTTATTCATTGATATCAGCAATTTGTGCATGTGGTCTGAATGAGCTTGAGATGGCATTGTTTACGTAAGATTTTTTCGAGGATTAGTGGGAAGCTGGTATAAGAAGAAATGGATTGATTGTTAATCTTGTTGTCTTCAGTTTGTGGTGTGTGAGCTGCTGGATATATTTAGTGCATTCTAGTATTTTTGGGAAGTAAGCTGAAGTGTGACAACTTGACACTATAATTGTCAATTTGCTAGTCCCAGTGGCTACTAGATGTTACTATTATTTTAAAGGATTTAAAATATGTAGCTCTTGGGTTTCCTTATTAATAATTAGTTAGCCTTTTTACACTTCAAAAGGAATATTAGTGAATCTATTTCTAGCCAAAGCAAATGCTGTTAGTACTGCTTGTTTTCTGCAGTTAAGTATTTGCCGAGTATTGATTGAAACTTGTTTACAATATTGTTGGGAATCTGGTTCTTCCTGGATGAGACATGGGGTTGGGCGTTTAAATTTATTTGTTAGTCTGATAGACTTTTGGGAAGATACTGGGCTTCTTAAAGTTTTGCAATATTTTTTTTTGGGCTATGATTCAGTTGGTTTTGAGCTCTTGCTAATGCGTTAGGGTGGACTTATGAGAGATGTATTACAATGTGTTTTTGAAGTTGGTGTATGATAAATTCCCATCATTGCATGTGCTGGTCAAGAATATGAGTAGTTTTTGGGAGCTGTCTTGGTTGAATGAGTTTTAAGGATGGTGGAGAGCCTGTCCTAGAGCCTTTGAATGCTCATTCTTTCTGTCTGTAGATATGAATCAGTTAGCTAACTAAGCCAATAACGTGCAAGTTGAGCCAACTATCTTTTTGAAGGGGCTTCATATGCGTTTTACCCCTTGGACCCTCGCTTGTGATATGTGATATAGATCCATTGCATGTTTCAAATCTAGCTTTAGTTTTGTGTGTGTCTGTTTTTTTACGGGGCTTGGAATGTCACATTTACCGCTTCTTATCTAGTCTGCCCACATTATTGTACCTGTTACTCTGTTAGGGCCTGAATTCACCCATATTTTGGATGTTGCAGCTTTTTGTGTAGTTGCAGTTGAATCTGTTGGAAGGCAGATTCCAATGGCATTCTTGGAGCGAGTGAAGGATGATTTTAACAAAAGATATGGGGGTGGAAAAGCTGCTACTGCTCAAGCAAAAAGCTTGAACAAAGATTTTGGGTAGTTTTCTTGGTCATGAAATTTTCATCCATCTCCTGAATATTTGAACCTATGTACACATGCTAACATCTGTGTGTTCTTTAGGCCTAAGCTGAAGGAGCACATGCAATACTGTGTTGATCATCCAGAGGAGATGAACAAGCTTGCGAAGGTGCAGGCTCAGATATCAGAAGTCAAGGGAGTGATGATGGAAAATATTGAGAAGGTATAAGAATTTTACATGATTACTAACATATTAATGGCTGGTGGCAGTAATGGTTTGGGATAGGAACGAATTGTTCGAGTTTGTTTATCTTCATTGTAGTGCTGTTGCCTCTATACCCTGTCTAGAATAATGAAATAGAGATGAATGTAGTAAAACTGCTCTGCAAATCTTGTTATGTCACATGATTTAGTGTATGACATTTTAAATTGGACACGATTGATTAATCCCAGTTGATCAATTTTGATTCTGTGGAAGTATGGGGCTTTTTATACTCCACATTTATTTTCTAACTAGTTTAAGTCCCGTGCCATGCACGGTTATAATTAAATTTTAGAACAAATAAATAATAAATAGTGGTGTTAATTCAACAATAATTTATCCAAAAAAAATAGTTATAATAAAAATAACTTGAATTTTAGTTTAAACCAATTAGGGGTGGCAATTTGGGTCAGCAGGTCGAGTTCGAGTCAGATTTCGGTTTGCTTTCGTGTTATGCTTAGAAACTACAAAAAATAGTGTAAAACTTAATATAATTATGAAATATAAAATTTAGGTCAAATTATCCTTAGAAACCTTCAGTTCAAGGTTTTGATTGAGCCCCAAAAAAATATGTTTTATACTCAATCAAATAATTAGATTTAATTTTCCAATATATGTTATGTACGTTTGTATGAAGCATACTTTTGCTAGTGATTTTGTTTTTATAAACCTTATGTATAATTTTAAAATTTATACAAAGAATCTATGCTACCAAAATGAATTTTCTTTTTTAATTAAAATAATTTTTTTATCACATAATAAAAGTTGGAGAATTTTTTTTATATATGTAAAATTAATTTTTTTACTCGTATGCATTGTTAATCATGCATAAATTTGATATTTAATGGTGAATTGAAACTATATGTAGATAGTATTGTGAATATTGGAAATTTGAAAAGATTTTATACTACTTTTCACATTATTTCTGTTTTGTGAATGATATGGTTGATACGGTGTATATATTTACTATGTATACATAAATATTATATGATAAGAATATATAAGAATATAATAAAATATAATAATTAAATGAGGAAATAATTATATAATAAAATTAAAATATAATATAATAATTAAGGAAAAAAAATGAATGACATTATGCCAAGTGTCATTATAGGTTCGCTTTTAGTATAGGTTAATAGATATTTTAACTTTCGTTGCTTGAAACTTGAATGTTAATTATTGCTTTCCTTTTTGAACAGGTTCTAGATCGTGGTGAGAAGATAGAGCTTCTTGTTGACAAGACAGAAAATCTCCGTTCACAGGTTGGTGATAGTTGCTGTAAAAAATTATTGATCTTAACCCTTTCAATATAATGTCCTAAAAAGACATGTTGAAGCAACCATGCAACTACCCTTTAGCTAATGGGTTGTGAAGGGCTACTACCCTTTTGCTAATGGAGTGGGAAGTATACTGTAAATTGTTGATTGATGTCTTGAGTACATTCTTTGATATATCTTTATGTAGTTTTATGTTCATTGATGATTGTATTCCTTCGTGTATTTTCTGTAGGCACAAGATTTCAGGCAACAAGGAACACAGATGAGGAGGAAGATGTGGCTTCAGAACATGAAGATCAAGCTTATCGTGCTGGGTATCATCATTGCGCTGATCCTTATCATAGTGTTGTCAGTTTGTCATGGCTTCAATTGTGCAAAGAACTAGTTCACTAGTTCCCTTTATTACCGGGGGGGGGGGGGGGGGGAGGAGGGGTTTTTGGGGTGTTTTGGTCGGAAGCTTGGGTGAAATATATTTGCTATAGTCGGTCTCGAATACATCCGTTCCTAATGTTGATTTCCATCTTTATAATAGTCCAGACTTTTAACTGTTCTTGGTAGAATCTCGCATTTATTTGCTGGCGCTTTGGAATGTGAATGCTTGTATTCAGTTCCAAACTGTGGTGTGTATAGGTCTTAAGTATAAAACGGGAATTTCGTATCGTGGTAAATGTATGCCTTTTTTTTGTATTCAAAGCTGCGGGTGAAGCGCTGGTCTTATCTGTTGATTACGATTACGATTTTGGTTTAAAAATTCATATGGATGGACTTCAATTTTTCTCTTCATGATCACGGAATATCAATATTTGTTCACAGATTCAACAACTGCACAACTGTCTTTTAAAGACTTAGAGGACACTTTTTCTTCTTCTTAAATTTAATTATTTTTATTTAATGTTGTGATTGTTGAAAGTCAAAATACGGAGTATTGCTTTTTCATCTGTTGTATAAATTGGCGATTGATGTTCCCGTTTGCTTTGTTCTCACTTCTCATATTCGGCAGAATAGTCGCATAACTATAGTTTGTGTTTTCATTTAAACTTTCTGAAATGTTGCCAAGTACTCGGTATTATTTTGTGTTTTCTTTTAATTTGTTTATATTCGTCTAATGTTACACCACAGTAGTTAATGTATTGTCGTCCACTTTTAAGTTTTAACCATTTTCTGTCAAATAAAATAGTTAAATATTGATTTTTTTTTTTTCAAAAAAAAAAGATTAAAAGAACTACTTAAATTATCAATAAAACCTCACTTATGATTTATTAGTCACAAAGACATTTTGGGATATTTGAAGTTGTAACATGTAAAATAATAAACTTGGTGTTTTTCGGATATCAGAGAGCTTACGATAATACTCTTTAGCTTTTATTTATCCATTATCATTACCATAGCACGTCATGATTAAAGCAAATGTACAAAAGGGAAGATGAAAGCAAAGTAAAACAAGACAAACCAGCAAAATAGCTAAAAACAAGTCACTTCTTCATTCCCATAAACTTGAAAATACGTTGTAATCACATATCAGCCCCCAAACTTGTCAACCCAAGTATCAATGGTACATCCATTCTTCATCATAAGATCATCAGGAGTTTTAGCACCTGGAACCTCTGCTTTACCATAAACGAAACGAACAACTCCATATTCGAGACCAAGGCGGTCGCAGTAGACGAGTTTCATGTGATATAAAGGAAAGTCACGCTTCACTCTGTAGATAACATCATGATCATCCCCTGCTTGGACTTTCAAAGTCACAAGATTTTTTGCTGATTCAAGCTTGACTTTGGTGGCTGAGTCTTGATTGATGCGTTGGATTGGTGGCATTGCCATATTCTTGAGAGTATACTGAAGAGAATAAGTTGGTCTAATATATAGGGTTAGCTTGATTAAATGCTACTACCAAAGTATACAGATTACTAAGCTTTTATTATATATTTCCCATGCAATATGATTAATGAGTACTTGAGTAGTTAATACCGTCTTTAAAATTCCTAACGCTTCATCTTATACAGTCCAAATTCGTTTTGTTTATTTATTTATTTTATGGGAACTTTACGAAATTCTTGCTGATTACTTAAAAAGTAAAAACCCTTCAGTTACATGCTCTTTCAGTGTAGAACGAATTCAGCCATTTGGAAATAACAAAGTTTAATGACACCATTGCTTATCTTATCTATCCATTTCCAACTTAATGCCATTTTAATGTATTTATCGATTGTTCACGTGTGGCAAAACTTAAAAAATCCTTAACAATCCTAATTTTATTTGAGATCTCGTCTTTATGCACGAGATGTCGAGACCATATCACACTAGCTTATTGTTGGACACTACTCTTGAATGAAATTTTTTTATAAAAAACATATGTTGACACGTTAAATATGACTTTGACAATAGTATAGAATCAAACCTGTTTTAAAATAAGTTATTGTGAGACCATCTCATGCGAGAATTGTGATCTTTCTTCAAATAGAGGGTCCTATTTGGAATACACGCTCATCTTACAAATACCTGCTTGTACAAGCGTACAGGAACAATAATAGGCTGTCATTTGGAATTGTTAGACGTGATGAATGTTGGTGTGATTTTAACAAAACCACAATGCAAATATACATGCAAGAAGCATCATTACATGAGATTCACTACTACTTGAAGTAGAGCTCAAGAAGCTTCTTCAATGTCTCAAGTACACTTGAGAAGGGATTAAATGCTACAGAAGACTTTAATTCAAGATCAGGGAACTGATTGGTTAGAGCCTGTTGCATTCCAGATTGAGACATCATTGAAGCAAGTTGACTGTTCGACATAACTTGGCAATCTTGGGGAGTATCCTTGATTTTGTTTGGGTCATATCCGAAGTCTGCTAGGTAATTTTTGTACTTCTCAATGAACTCAGGTCCAGGATTAGGCGTTCTTGAGTAGATCTGTAAAATTCATAGCATATTCATCACAGATTCAATTTATACTAATGCATTGGGTATTGAGTTTGATTGAGTTGAAATATCAGCATCTTCACATGAAAAAAGAAGTGGCAACAGCTTAAACAAAAGAGCAGAAGTGTAAGTCTTGATTTCATAATTCAAACAACTCACATAACAGCAAGTTGTCTGAATTCATGAGTTTCACAAAGCAAAAGTGAAAATTAATAAAATCTACCAATGATGATAATGACAACAAAAAGAAAGCAAGCCAAATCAGCTAGACCGTTTAGATTAGTTTGGTTCTTCATAATTAATCAATATCTCAATGCTATTTTCAGATGGAGCTAAGACCATATTCCAATTTAATTTCAAATATTCGGTTTGTAAATTTAGACAGCGAAAAAGGCATTTGCTACATTCTGCCTCTGTACATCATTGAATAGATGACGTTCAAAGAAATAATGTGCAACAATAGAAGTTCAAAGAATAAGATTGCCAATTACCTGGACAAAACTTTTGTCTTTGGCCCCAGAGACAATAGCATAATTGTCATAATCAGTTGCAATCACATCATATGGCTCCTTGGGAATAAATGGCAAAGTAGGAAAACGCAGGTAGCACTTCTCTTTGATCATCTCTTGCTTCTCCAAAGCAGTTTCTTTCAGCTCCTTATCCTCCTCTGAGAGACACTGAACCTTTCCCCTTATACCGGTGATGTACCCATCAGGACCCCCGTGAACACAGAAAGTATCAACTTGAATTGCGGGTGCCTTCATATCAAATGTATATATTCCCTGGAATCAAGAAACATCTTATCACAACAGATATTAAAGAGCATTAAGATTTCTTACTGCTTCATATCAACATTCAAGAGCCACAAAGATATAGAACAACTTTGAGTAACTAGTAGCACCTCATGAAAGGCAGATTAAGCTTCTCATAGTCTACTTAATAAAACCATGAACCATCATTTTAAATTCACCTGGGTGCAATGACAGTCTTCCTGGCCTTGTCCAGCAAATCCGCGTTTAAGAGAGGCCACCTCGAACCATCTGCCAGAGTATCTAACAGGATCAAAGTTTTTAGCTGTCATACCTCTCATCATCATCATCATCACGTCCTTCCCATCTGCATTACTAGAGTTCTCATCAAGAGGGAATGGAACCGTACTGCTTGAGGCATCAGCAAGCAAGCCTATGCTATTTTGACGAGGAAGGTCTGCCCCATACACCTGTTAGCCCCAAAATACAAGTAGTTTTTACCAAAGCCAAATTCTGAACAAACCAATACCAATATCATTTTACTCAAACTTTTCAAGCTCATTCAAGAGTTCATGTTCATCCCATCTTATCATATGATAAATGCATAGTCCTATGCTACATTGTACTCATTTAAGTTCAATTGCGCAAATTAAACCAAATAGAATCAAGATACTAACCAAATTGGCTTGGGAGAAAAATATGCAAGAAGCTACCAACCCAGAGAATATATGTTTAGGAATGCCATTATCTGAAGCCGGGCGCTCAATGGTGCATCTTACAGCTAAATTCTTAGTCTTCCCCCTAAAAGCAAAGGAAAGTAATTCATGATTTCAGTATCTCTGTCATGAAGACTGTCCCTCCAAATATACAACTATGTCTCTTCTCAAAAGTCCCACTAATGATCAACTACAAGAAATCGAACTCGCTGCCATGACTATAATTCAGAAATAACATAATCTTCAACAGCATACAACCAACAAAACATTAAATGGGACATTTGAAGAATGAAAATTGAGCTTCAATCAACAAACACAACAGAAATTCCTAATGTACAAAGATACAATTCAAATACCCTGATGTTTATGAAAAATATTGAAATGCCCATTAACAATTAAAGAACAAAGAAAACACATTAACAAAAATGGCAGCAATATAGAGATGGGTATGATTTAAAATGAGCTAAAAGTGCAATCAATAGATAATTATACTATACCCAGATATAAAATCGGGAGAAAATAATTAAGAACATAAAATATGAAAAAATGAAATAAAAAGAGAAACATTTAGTGGGTAATTTGAGTAAATTACCTTGAGCGGGAATGAAGAACTGGAGAGGGTAAAGACGTTCGAATCACTTGCATTATTTTATTCTATACAATTTTGAGCATACCCAGAAAATGCAAAATATAAATAAATAAAATTTATGTAGTTGTGTAAATCTTGTTCTTGAAAAATCTGAGACTAATTGATACTCGAATTATCTCTGACCTTGAATTAATGGAGTGGGCAAAATGCCAAACTATACTCTTTCAAAGCTCTATGCTCTATCACTCTCGCTGAGACAAAAACGAAAAGAAATCTTCTATCTAGCGACTTCAGCACCTTCTACGCATCGTTTCTATCTAAAACGCATCGTTTTTTATTTTTTTCAAGAAATTGTTGTACTTTTTACATTGTACAAATTCAAATTTTAGATGAAAGGGTTAAAATAAGCTGCAAAGATTGTTAGTAATAAGAGCAGAAACTTGTAATAGCTAACAATTTCGGATTAATCAATTGGATGTTGGTGTAGTGAGATTGGGACTACACTCGTAAACTAATATATTGGAACTTCAGTTTCCAAACAACCTCCTAGTAACTTCACTATATTCCTGTGGTTTACTTGTGATGATATAACCACTTCATTGATAAAACCTCCTAACTGACTTTCATCAACCACTTCAGCCTTCTTTATAGCAACAATTTTTCCTTTGTAAACTATTCCTTGACCACTTTGTCCAACAATTTTGCTCTATCTAATTCGTCAGAAGTAAAAATCTTTAGTCTTGCTACAACACTTTCATCTGTTTTAACAGCAACCCACCATTCCGCTCGAAGTATACAGCCTTTTGCTTGATGATCCTTCTCCTTTTGATAACAGAAGAAAACCACCAACCAACAAGACAAAACTATTCTTCCAAAGGATATGCCTAATCCTTTAGTTCACAAAAACACAGATTAAAATTTATTACATTATTGCCTTTGCTACAAAACACAATATTTTTATACGTTTCTTAAAAAGGGGAGGGGGGGAAATGTGTCTCAATTGCACAAGGCCTCCATACTAGTGTGGACGGCCCTGGTACATGCATGCATAATTTCGTCGGGTGAAAAGATGATATATGAAAGCCACATATAAGGGTTATAATACACGAGATCGGAGCAATTTATGAGGTGTTCGAACCCAGTGTCGGAAATTCACAGAACACTACGGGATGCATCACAGGGTTATATAATATTGTTTCGATCCATATATGACCATTATTCGGCTACGTAAAGGCCCTGTGGAAGCTTATAGCCAATACAAGAGGCGTGTACAACAATAGTTAAATTGGATACTTAAAAGCAAATTGGATGGTTTCACCCATCCAAATGGACTCCTGGACAGTATTAGGGTCCATGGTAATCATCTCGGCAATTTTTATTTCCGGCCCAAAAAAAGTCAAAAATTGTCAAAATTGAAGGCTATTATCCACGTTTTTTGAGAAATTTTGGAGGTTTCGGGACCCGTTAACGAAAATTCTTGAGATGCTATGGGATACAACTCGGGGTCATATAATGACGTTTGGAACCGTATATGACCATTATATGTTGTCATAAATGTCCGTGGTGTAGCTTGATTTTATGAAATTAGTGCAAGTTGTAATCGGGTAAGTCGACTGTTTAAAGGCATATTGGATGGTTTTATCCACCCAAATGGGCTCCCGAAGTGTATTAGAGACCATGGTAAACATTTCGGCAATTTTTATTTTCGGGCAAAAAACGGTCAAAAAATTCCAAAATTGAATTTTTGAGGAATTTTGAAGGTTACGGGGCCCGGTGGCGAAAAGTGTTAATTGAGATCTTAGGGGATACATCTCAGGGTCATATAACGCCATTTGGAACCATATAT